TGGTCAAGGGAGACCTTTCAGATTGAGCATGGCTGACACTTTGCTGTCAGTCTTGTGGCTTCTAGAACTATGAGAGAATAAATTTGTGTTGCCATCAGCCCATACTGTGGAACTCTGTTGGGGCAGCCCTAGGGAACTCACACATATGCCATGCAGTGCAGCTAACAGAACACTAGGGGGCACTGCCTGGCAGCAAGTTTTATGTGCAAAAGAATTACTGGGAGTTGACACAGAAATCCATAGGAAGAGTGTTCTCATACTTTTTGTAATGGCAAACAGGTTATAATTTATCACTTTAAAAAGTTACAACCATTATCATCTTGCTGAATAACTTGTGAGCTTTGCAGCAACCTGGCTGGGAGTCCCGTGTAAAGACCATCCTTGTCCTGCTGCTATTTCACACATGGGAAGGTACCTGTAGGACAAATTCCCCCACAATTCCCCTTCCAGGAAGAGATGCATGTCTTTCATTTAAACAGACAGGGCCTAATTACTCTCCAAGGAGGAGGTATATTCCACTTACCAAAAACATATGGGAAAGGATGTTTTTCCCCAGTCTTGGCAACATCGCAAAAAAGAGCAAAAACACTTAAACACAGTGTTTCCCAAGGACAAACTAAGGAACCCGGACCACCATCCCCACCAGTGCTCACAGCCGGCTGGGGCCCTTCTCACAGCGAGGAAGTGGCCAGTTCCTCGCACGGAGCCCCAGCCCTTGCAACACACCACACAAACTGGTTCTACCAACCAACTGCAAGGGATATCTCCCAGCACCAGCTTTACAGCAAGGCACAACCTTTCCCCAAGCACTCTCCCACAAAGACCAGAAACAAAGTCAGGTACCAAAGGACAGCCACCCATGGTGACCTCAATGATACCATCACATACCTATCTCCTGGTCAGCCCTGCGACCTGAGAACCCACAACCCAGGTTCCAGGACAGAACACCATGAAAAGAAGAGTCTGCAGTAAGTGCGGTGGCACCACAGCGTCGCCTCCAGCCTGCCGATCCCATTGGCACCCACGCCCATTGTTCTCTAATCCACCTCAAACCACCCCGGAAGAAAGATTGGAAGACGGGAACCAAGAACTATGAGTAAGATTTACAGACTTGTACCCTCAATGTACTCGGAACCTACCTTATCTAATTTCAGAAAGAAAGGCCCCCCAGGCCCCCCAGCTGCCCTCAACCCAACTCCTTGAAACATGCAGAGCCAGCACGTCCTTCCCTTCACGGAGGTGCAGACATCTTCTCGCCCCCATCTCGCCCATCGTTAATGCCCTAGCACATACAATTCTGGAAATCACGACTGTTCCTTCCCACTCCTGTTATCCAGAGGATTATAATATGCTAAACAAATGAGCATATTGGTTTAGATGGTTGTGCCTCCCCTTGCTAAGAAAAAGAACAGCAAACGTATATAGTTTCCATTGCCAGCTACTGATCCCTAAGCTTTTTAATACTATAATTTCTTAACTTACACAATCAACTGGAGAGAGGCACTATAACACTTTTACAGATAACAAACTACAGACCTGAAAGATGGAACTTTGCCCCAATCACACAGTAAGTTAGCAGAGCTGCACTTTGCAAGCAGGGAGTCTCCCCACTCACCATCTGTTCACTCCTGAACACACCGGTACCTAATAGGGGCTCAGAATCACTTGCAGGGCATGCTTGACACGCCAGCCACCACCACACTCAACAGCCCCCGTTAAAGGAGAAGACATCCATGATAACATACCGACATCTGTAAAGCCTTGGTTTGCCTAAGATTAGTCAAACACAAAGGATAATGTTGGCAATGACAGCAAACCAATTATAAAGAATTAGGCAATGAACCTGCCGCTCATGACTCCTTGCTGAAGGTGCATGGCATGTAGGTGGCAGGACTGCATCAGGCACGGAACGCCCTGCACTCTGCTTCCAGGTGACACAGTCCAGCTGCTCACCATTTTCATGGGGGGCCCAACATACTAGGCAGCTTTCCCCGTGAACATCATCTAGCACTGCTCAGGAATTATCAAAATCGAATTTCCATTGCATCGTTAAAAGATCTCACAATTGCAATCTTGTGCAAGCTTGGCAGCACTACAATGAAGTTGTTTACCCTCAGCTCCAGACATGAGGTGGGAATCCTCTTTTAACTAAAGTCACTTTCTATGGGTGCTGTCACAAATGACCGCAAACTTCATGGGTTAAGACAACAGAAATTTATCATCTTATGGTCTTGGAGGCCAGAAGTCTTAAAGTCAAGGTGTCAGATCTGTGTTCCCTCCAGAGATCCTAGGGAAGGGCACCTTTGCTGTCTTTTGCTGCTTCTAGAGACTGCTTCCTCCATCTGGAGGTATCTCTGACATGTTCATCTCTAATCCTCTTGCTTCCCTCTAACAAAGACCCTCACGGATACCCTTGACCGACCAGAATAACCCAGGAAAATCTCCCCACACCAGGATCCTAAATCACATCTGCAAATCTCTATTCCCATGGGCAGTGACATTCACAGGCTCCAGGGATTAGAAGTGGTCCTCTTGAGGGAGGGGTGCTATTCTGTCCACAATACCCTGAGCCCTTTCCAAACTCTTTCTCCTCTTTTGTCTTTCAAAGACCCCAGGCTCTTTTGAAGAATACCTCACTTTTATCCACCTAACCTGGTCACTATAACCCAATGCTCTCAAACTTTGCTGCACATTGGAATCACCTGGAGAGCCTGTACAACTCCCAGTGCTTGGGTCACACCCCAGACCAATCAAAGCACAACATTCTGGGGATGAGGGCCAGGTAGCAGCACTTTAAAAATATATATATCTGCAGGGATTCCAATATGCACAGTTTGGGAACCACTAGAATGATCAACAGAATTTCTCCAAATGATACTCCACACCCCCTTCACTGATGGGTGTGAGCAAGTGGGGAGGGGGAGTGTCACATTGTCTCAAGGTGTTCCGCATTGACTCCACGATCCCCTGCCCTGGAAGACTGCCATTCCATCAGGCCTATTGTCCTCCATTACAAACTCCAGCCTGTCATGTCCTTTCTTCTGTCCCCAGTGGCCACACTCCTTCACTATACTCCTCCCCTCACAAACACCCTCCACTCTGTCCTATTAGCCTGACAACACACCAACCCTCACACTTAGCCACTGCACCCTTGCCTGCACCAGCTGCTGCCGGGAAAACAGAGGCAGCTGACCCAGCTCTCCTGACCTTTATGACCACAGACCCTGAATAAGTCCCCAATTCAGCCAGTCAGTGCTGCCTAATTCCCTAATAACCTCACTTTCCCTGTCTGCAAAGTGGTTATTCTTTCCTCGAAGTCTCCCAAATGAAACCCTCTCAAACCCTCTCAATGCTGACCTCCAATCTCTCACCCTTCAAAGAGATAAGACACACCCTCAAGGCCTTGGTTTCCCTAACATGCTTGCATCTGAACCCACACACTCTACCTTCCCTCTGTCACCGGAGAAGAGGTGCACTGCTCCCCAGGTCACACCCCACCTGGGTCTTGCATCCACCCACCTGCTGTTCCCACGCATTGTGCTCTCCCTTCTTCCCTCGAATTGTTACCTCTCTGAGATCATTACATAAGAACATGCTGTAATATCTCTCCAGCTTTTGAAACTCTTTAAAAAGGAGTTAAGTCATGCCAAGGAAGTTCTCCAACCATATGGAATTAGGTTAGAAATCAACACCAGCCAGATAGCTAGAACATACCCACATAGGTTGGAAACGAAAAAACATACTTCAAAATACCCTTGGTCAAAGATATCAAAATGGAAATTAGAAACTATTTTGATGTGAATGAAATTGAAAACACAACATCCAAAGTAGTACTTAAGGGAAATTTACACCATTTAATGCCTACATTAGAAAAGAAAAACTCTCAAATCAATGCCCCCTGCTTCCATAGTAAGAAACTAGAAAAAGAGTAAAAAAAAATCCTAGGTGAGAAGAAGAAAGGAAATAAATATCAGAACAGAAACCAATATAATCGTGGAGAGGGAGGAGGAGAAAAAGAGATCAATGTAACTAAAGGCCGATTCCTTGAGAAAAATCTAAACAATTGATAAACCTGTAGCCAGACAGACAAGAAAATATGCAAGACAAATTACTAATGTCAGGCACAGAGATGAAGTATCGTTATCAATATTAAAAGGATAATAAGGGCATACTACAAACTTGTGTCAATAGGATCAACAATTTAGATGAAATATACATTTTGGAAAAACACAAATTAAGCTCACCTAAGAAGAAATGGAAACCATGAATATCCCCCTCTATCCTTAAAATAGGGTTCCAGATAATCTTTAAGAAAAAAAGAACAAAATACTGGTGGAGGCACAGAGATCACAGCAAGTGCCCACCTTCCTGACCTCAGGTGTGGTCTTGGAAGAGAAGGTGGACTAGGGTAACAGAGGCGCAAGCAGTTCAGCCAGCTCTACCTGGGAAAAGCTGAGTCATAAGAAGATCACAGTTCTCCCCAAGTCTGAGTCACTAATCAAACACACGGATTACACTAAACATGGATGGAGTTTTAATTTTGTGCCCACATTTTGACACGCCTTTGGGAATTTGTTTTCAGTTGGATTTGTTGGCAGGTACACACATCTCACTAGGAAGAAGACATATAGATCAATTTAGATCTATACAGATTATCTACCCTCCTTGGACAAACGTAAATGCAGATAATTTTATCATCCGTGGAAGTTATGTAAGGATCAAATTAAAAATTCCCTCTAAAGGGTTCCGCCCACAGTAAAAATTTCCTCGCACCTGAGGGCGCTCTGGGAATCAGTGCCACGTAGCCTGCCTACACCTGTTGAGTCTTCTCACAGGATACCTCATTCTGAATTTCTCTTTAGCAAGCAAAGGGATCCATGTCCAGAGAAGCAGTTACTGTGTCCAAGTAATTGCACTGCATCTTAGGAAAAAACAACATTCGCATTTTGCAGTGGACGATGGGCGCACGACCAAGAAAATTACTCAGCTCTCTATTGTCCTCCATTACAAACTCCAGCCTGTCATGTCCTTTCTTCTGTCCCCAGTGGCCACACTCCTTCACTATACTCCTCCCCTCACCCTCCACTCTGTCCTATTAGCCTGACAACACACCAACCCTCACACTTAGCCACTGCACCCTTGCCTGCACCAGCTGCTGCCGGGAAATCAGAGGCAGCTGACCCAGCTCTCCTGACCTTTATGACCACAGACCCTGAATAAGTCCCCAATTCAGCCAGTCAGTGCTGCCTAATTCCCTAATAACCTCACTTTCCCTGTCTGCAAAGTGGTTATTCTTTCCTCGAAGTCTCCCAAATGAAACCCTCTCAAACCCTCTCAATGCTGACCTCCAATCTCTCACCCTTCAAAGAGATAAGACACACCCTCAAGGCCTTGGTTTCCCTAACATGCTTGCATCTGAACCCACACACTCTACCTTCCCTCTGTCACCGGAGAAGAGGTGCACTGCTCCCCAGGTCACACCCCACCTGGGTCTTGCATCCACCCACCTGCTATTCCCACGCATTGTGCTCTCCCTTCTTCCCTCGAATTGTTACCTCTCTGAGATCATTACATAAGAACATGCTGTAATATCTCTCCAGCTTTTGAAACTCTTTAAAAAGGAGTTAAGTCATGCCAAGGAAGTTCTCCAACCATATGGAATTAGGTTAGAAATCAACACCAGCCAGATAGCTAGAACATACCCACATAGGTTGGAAACGAAAAAACATACTTCAAAATACCCTTGGTCAAAGATATCAAAATGGAAATTAGAAACTATTTTGATGTGAATGAAATTGAAAACACAACATCCAAAGTAGTACTTAAGGGAAATTTACACCATTTAATGCCTACATTAGAAAAGAAAAACTCTCAAATCAATGCCCCCTGCTTCCATAGTAAGAAACTAGAAAAAGAGTAAAAAAAAATCCTAGGTGAGAAGAAGAAAGGAAATAAATATCAGAACAGAAACCAATATAATCGTGGAGAGGGAGGAGGAGAAAAAGAGATCAATGTAACTAAAGGCCGATTCCTTGAGAAAAATCTAAACAATTGATAAACCTGTAGCCAGACAGACAAGAAAATATGCAAGACAAATTACTAATGTCAGGCACAGAGATGAAGTATCGTTATCAATATTAAAAGGATAATAAGGGCATACTACAAACTTGTGTCAATAGGATCAACAATTTAGATGAAATATACATTTTGGAAAAACACAAATTAAGCTCACCTAAGAAGAAATGGAAACCATGAATATCCCCCTCTATCCTTAAAATAGGGTTCCAGATAATCTTTAAGAAAAAAAGAACAAAATACTGGTGGAGGCACAGAGATCACAGCAAGTGCCCACCTTCCTGACCTCAGGTGTGGTCTTGGAAGAGAAGGTGGACTAGGGTAACAGAGGCGCAAGCAGTTCGGCCAGCTCTACCTGGGAAAAGCTGAGTCATAAGAAGATCACAGTTCTCCCCAAGTCTGAGTCACTAATCAAACACACGGATTACACTAAACATGGATGGAGTTTTAATTTTGTGCCCACATTTTGACACGCCTTTGGGAATTTGTTTTCAGTTGGATTTGTTGGCAGGTACACACATCTCACTAGGAAGAAGACATATAGATCAATTTAGATCTATACAGATTATCTACCCTCCTTGGACAAACGTAAATGCAGATAATTTTATCATCCGTGGAAGTTATGTAAGGATCAAATTAAAAATTCCCTCTAAAGGGTTCCGCCCACAGTAAAAATTTCCTCGCACCTGAGGGCGCTCTGGGAATCAGTGCCACGTAGCCTGCCTACACCTGTTGAGTCCACTCACAGGACACCTCATTCTGAATTTCTCTTTAGCAAGCAAAGGGATCCATGTCCAGAGAAGCAGTTACTGTGTCCAAGTAATTGCACTGCATCTTAGGAAAAAACAACATTCGCATTTTGCAGTGGACGATGGGCGCACGACCAAGAAAATTACTCAGCTCTCGCTTTCCTCCCTTTGGGGTTCTCCCCAAACAATTTCTTCAGTCCAGCTGCCACGAATCTGCAGCCCTCTACTGATCCGTCGCCCTCGGTTTGGCTCCAGGGGAAGCACAGCTCCCTGGGCGCGGAGCCTGGACCAAAGAAAGCGCAGCGCGGGCAGAGGGCGGGCCCGGGAGTTGGGGCGTTACGAAGCCTTCAGGAACAGACAGCCCCTCCTCAGAGGGGAGGGACCGAGGCCGCAAGCCTTGTTGTCTAGGGCTCCCAGCGCTGGATTCCAGAACTTCCTCTGCGCGGCTGCTGTGACTAACCAGCTCCGCTGTGCGCTCTCCGGTGGTCCGAAGCCTGGTCCGTTCTCCACGCAGGTGCCCAGCGCGCCCCACCGGGCCATGTCGTCCTGCAGCCGCGTGGCGCTGGTGACCGGCGCCAACAAGGGCATCGGCTTCGCCATCGCGCGCGACTTGTGCCGCCAGTTCTCCGGGGACGTGGTGCTCACGGCGCGGGACGCGGCGCGGGGCCAGGCGGCTGTGCAGCAGCTGCAGGCCGAGGGCCTGAGCCCGCGCTTCCACCAGCTGGACATCGACGACCTGCAGAGCATCCGCGCCCTGCGCGACTTCCTGCGCAGGGAGTACGGGGGGCTCAACGTGTTGGTCAACAACGCGGGCATCGCCTTCAAGAGTAGGTGCGGGGACTGGGGACAGGACGTTCCCGGGGCGCTCCGAGGGTGCGGGGCAGGGAGCCGCGGATCCCCACCTACCCACTGAATAATCGAGGAGGGCGGCGCGGGGCCCTGGGGATGCGCTCAGCTCTGGCTTCCCGCAGCGGGTTTTCCTTTCAGTGATTCGCTGAGCGCCTGGCGGGCCGGGCGACAGACACAGCGCGCCCCGCCGCCGGCCTGTGCAGGCCTGTTCGCTGCCCCGGGCCCTCCTTGAACTGTCAACTGCTATTTGCAAGGAAACTGGCCTCCCAGGAGGAGGCCACGCCCTGCCACACTCATCAGCTTTCTGTCCAATGCGCGAACCATTTTCTCTGTGAAGGGTCTCACCTCACTTTGGGCTTCCACCTTCCTTGAAAGGGCTCATTCATAGATGCCCGGAGGCGTTTGCGGGCGAAAGGAAGTGAATCGCCAGAACAAGATTAGCGCGCTCTTGTACATTAGCGGACTTTGTAAGGTTGTTTTTTTTTTTTTTAATGGAGAGCTTTAATAGGCTCTGGCGCAAAGGAAGCGAGCCTTAATTTCCTCTCCCAGGGAGCTTATGTTTGTTATAATACATGCACGTGTGGTTTTTAAGGACATCTTTGGCGGGGGTGGGGGGGAGGTGGGGGGCATGTCTAGATTACGTATTCTAACTGCTAAAGTTACTCAGCTGCCACGTGCTGAGGGTACAAAGAACTAAACAGGCCAGCTTTACTCACAACCCCGTGGGAAGAACCTGGGAGACCGACCGAGTAAAATGAAGGATGGTGGAGCAGAGGTCTCCACCCGTACCTTTGGCCCGGGGTGCTGACGTTGCTGTGGAAGGGGACCCAGACTCCCTGCCGGCTTTCTCGGAGCTGGGGAGCAGGGGTGTAAGTAGGGGATTACCACCCCCTGGAGCAGCCCTCAGCCATTGGCTAAGGGATCTGAGTAAATACCCAGCTTCCTGGACGACAGGTGGAGGGACTTGTGCGCCGGAAGCCCTTGCCTTTCAAAGTGTGGAAAATGGACCAGCCATAACCGCAAACCTGGGCACATCTTGGCACCGCAGAATCTCAGGCCTTACCGAATCAAAATAGGCATTTTAACAGAATCGCGGGGTACCTCCTATGTGCATCCCACTTTGAGAAGCAGTGATCAAAGCCAGGTGTTCTCAAAGCGCGGCTGGAGACGGTAGCTGTAAGGTCACCTGGGAATTTGATAGAATTCTGAGCCCTAGCCCGGAATCAGGTGCTCTGCTGGTGAGGCCCAGAAAGCTGTGCTTTAACAGGCCCTGCAGGTGACTCTGATGCACACTAAAGTTTGAAAACCACCAACCTAGGGGGTTACAATTTGTTTTAAAGTTGGCTTCTTTTTCCTTTAATTAGTTGTTATGAGATAGGATCCACTTCGTTATATGAGTTTCAGAGGGAAATGTATGACTTTCTTTTTGTTTCTCTTTCTAAAAGTTGATGATCCAACGCCCTTTGACATTCAAGCTGAGATGACAATGAAGACAAATTTCTTTGCCACTAGAAATGTCTGCACTGAATTACTGCCGATAATGAAACCTCATGGTAAGTCCGGTGTGCAGCCTGTCACGTTGCATCCCTCATAAAGAGTAAGCCACATGCTCCCTGGAATAGGGGTGTCCTGCAGGAATCACCCAGAGGTATTATTTCTCTGTAGGGAGAAAAATTAAAAGCTGCCTTATTTTCTCATTGTCTGGTTTCTCATTCAAACATCTTAGCTTTAGTTTTCAAAGATATATATGATATATATCACAGTCCTCTTAGGATTCGTGTAATCAACTCAACCCTAGAATGATAGAATGTTACACTTCCCCAAAAGTCTCTTGCCTCTGATCAACCTCAGCGAGTCCTCCAGCTCTCCAAGGTGATGGCTTGTCAGGACTGGCTCATGTCAGGACTGGGCATAGTATCTGTTCTAGCATTGTGACTTTCCTTGTATTCCTTTCTTCTTGTAACCAAGCTTTGTCAAGCTGATTCAGAAAATCCAGAAAGGAAAAGGGGTTTGTTTTTCTTTTTTTTTCTGGGAGACCAGGAGTGCTCGCTTGTTTTCCCAGGCCTAGACGTGAGTGCCATGGGCGTCCAGCCGTAGGCTCACAGCAACCTCCAACACTCCCTGGGCTCAACAATCCTACCTGTGCCTCAACTCCGGGAGTAGCTGGACTACACGGGATGCCCACCATGCCCAAGCTATGTTTTTCCTACTATATACTCAGGTTGGCCGAATTAATTTCTTTCCGCTATTCTATAGTAGAGACAGGGTCATTGCTCTTGCTCAGCTGGTTGCGTCGGGACGCGGTCGAGCGATTGGCCAACCGCCTGTTGCTCCCAGAGTGTAGCATTACAGGGTGAGCCAACCACCCTCGGCCGAGCAGAAATCTTTTCCGCGTTTGTTGAGGGAAGCTGATCTTGCCCCACACCCCTGAATATTCAGATAATAATTTTTTATTACTTTCCCACACGGACTATTTATTTAGCTTTGAGTGCTGACTGAGTCTAACCCAGGCATGGGTAGATGCTGGTTTTAGCGGTACAATGGCTGAGCTACTGTGGAGAGAGACCATCGCATCGTATGGACTGAGGTAGGAAGAGGGAGACAGTCACTTGAAAAAAATCAGAATTACTGCAAGATGGGACAAGCTGGCGTAGGGGGAGGGGGATCACCTGCTCGCCATGAGGGATTGTTGTTCCTAAGAACGTTAGACGTGTAATTCTTCTGGAGCGAAGGGAGACGTTCGCGTGTAAGCGTTCTTATCTGAGATACTGTGATTTTTCTTAATTAATTGATTTTAAATAAGAATTATCTCTGAATGCAAAAATTTTAACTAAAAGGTGGCGATGCTAGGAGTTGCATTGTGACTCCGGTACTGTCGTTTATTCAGTCCTAGTGGAGTGGGATTTGGAAAAGCGCGTTGCAGCGTCGCTGAGTGGAGGGGCCTTGTGGGGGTCAGATGCACGAGGGTGGTTGGCTCAGCCAGAGGGCCAAGAGGAGTTTTAAAATGCAAATCTAAGTAGTAAAGTAAAATGCAGTAGCTTTAAACTCCCCTTGCGCGGTACGACAAAATGGGGTGACATTTTGAGTAGTAATGTTTGGCTACGCCTGCTTGTGTTCAGCTTCGGCTCGGTATATCTGGGGCTCTTTCCAGACTGAGATAAAAAAGACTTCTTTTTCTTTTGAGACAGCGGTCTTGGGTTTGGACTGCTTGCATCGCGGCTAGAGAGGGTGTAGTGGCTCATCAATGGCTTAGGCACTTCCAGAACTCGAATCCTTCGCACCTCGAGGTGACTCGCCGAGTAGCTGGGACTACAGGCATGTGCCACCATGCCTACCTAATATTTTTTAAATATTTTGTAGCGATGAGGGTATGCTATGTTGCTCAGGCTGGTCTCAAACTCCTGGCCTCAAGCAATCCTCCTGCCTTGGCCTCCCAGAGTGATAGGATTACAGGCATGAGCCAGTGCACCCAACCAAGAATGTCTTTTTACTAATTATCAGGAATCCTTTTCCCTGATGAATTTTAAAATCATAGAATTTGAGAGCTGCAAGGTATTAAAGAAACCTTGTGTTCCTACACCTCTACTTTACAGAGAGGGAAACTGAGGCAAAGAAGTACACACAGGTAGTAACAGAGCTGGAAATAGTATCCAGGTTTCTTGACTTTACTCAGTCACATTAAGATAATTGGTTCTAAGGAAGAAAGAATTATAGCATCAAATGATTATAATCCAAGCCATTCTGAAAGCTAATGGAAGGCACTGGGAAGAGTGGGATTCACTAAGAGGGAGTGAATCACTATGTTCATCAGTTCTCCCTAACATTACTTCCTAAGGTGAGAAGCTCTGGTTTACAACACATTGAAAATATTTGTGACTTTTCAATAAACCTCATGTTCACCCGGAGGGCAGAACACTGAGCATCATTGCCTTTTGATGTGTAGGGAATCACTTTCTCCACAAACAAGACTTATTTAAAAGACACTCTTTACTTAGCTATAAAGTATAACTTTAAAGAAAATTACATATGCTCCTCGACTTAAGATAGAGTTATGTCCCAATAAACTCATCATAAATTGAAAATATTTTAAGTAGAAAATGCATTTAAGAGAAGGCAGCAAAAATCCATGAAGAACACGGCACTTCTCAGAAACTCTCCAGGAAGCAATCAATAAGGAAATGGAGGCAGAGCAAGGCATGGGATGGTTATGAAGCCAAGAACTTGACATGAATTATGTCTGAATCTCCAGACCCTAGAAGACTGCCTGGTGTCTAATGAGGAAAACAAGGTGCAAAGAGAAAAAGCGACACATCCGTGCACCCAGAGGCTCGATTTGGGTGGCTTTGGAGCCTGTGCTTTCATGAGACTTGTCTCATCTGTCATTGTTTGCTGCACTGTCAGATTATTTTACATGTTTGGGCACTGCTGCAAAATGAGCTTTTTAGAAATCCTTCACTCTATGGAAAGTTTATAATATTGCTAATCCAAATTATTCTCTTTTTGACCTACTGAACTTTTGATATTTTTAAATTAGTCTTGTACACTAACCTACAATTTGTTTATACTTGCACAAGATCTCCCGTTTTCTACTTTTGAGGTTAGCTCATACATACAATTTCTTTAGTTACAAATGGTTAAACCCATTTATTTTCCATAAGGTCACCCTGTCTTTCATGGTGAACTAACTGCTAACAGCTAACCCATTGTGACAATAAGGGAAGTATTGTATTTTGACAGCATATTCCCTACAATATATTTTATTCTTACATTACAGTGTTAAGATTTTAGTAAAAACATTTGGTCAAATAATTGTATAAAAGGAATAGGTTCACATGTTCCAATGCCTTTTTTTATTTTAAGGTGGTATAAATTTATAGCTCCCCAAAAAGAATCCATCGGAGGATTTAATTCTGCCACACTCACAATTCCCATTTAATTTTTCATCTCTGAATTCAAGTCTTATTACTTTTACACATACCAGGAAATGTTTGTTGTTTCTTCCTCAGAAGGACAAGACTTTTTTCTGAAGTCACAGCAAGGACTTTTGTTCCATATGGGAAAACTTTCTGTAATTTAAATGGCTAGATTTTCTAATAGGAATTTTTTCATATCAAATTAAATGTTTCTTATGAAGAGATATTTGTGATTTTGTGGAAATGAACTCCTGACAAACAAAAAAATGCATTTAATTCACCTAACCTTCTGAACATCGTAGCTTAGTCTAGCCTACTGTAAGCATTCTCAGAACGCTTACATTAGCCTACAGTTGGGCAAAATCATCCAACACAAAGCCTATTTTATAATTGTTTTAAGTATCTCATATAGTTTATTGAATATTGTACTGAAATTGAAAAACATAATGGTTGTATGAGTACACTGGGCACAATTTCTAATATAAAGTCAAAACTCATAGGTAGAAGCATCTGAAATCGGGGATTGTCTGTGTTGTTCCATGCTGAGTAAATAGGTTAAGCAACTATTAAGCCACCAGGGGGAGCTACTTGCCTGCTCTTTCTAGAATGAGGCAGCAGGTGTCTCTGGACCAGTGGGGCCACCTGGACCTCAGCAGAGAGTGGTCGGAGCCGCCCTTCTCAGGGCTGATTGGACCCATCTGGTTGATGAGGCTGACTGTCACCCCCTAGCCTCTCTCCCAGAGGTGTGCCCTCAAATCAAAGGATTTTTCCCCTTAGGATTTTTATTTCCTCAAAGGCATAGCTTCTATAACTTGTGTTTTCCTTTCTTCCTTTCCCTTTAAAATTTAATTCCTTGCAGCAGCCAAATGATTGAGAACAGAGCTGTTTAGAATGTAATGAAGACACATCATTGTTGTAGTATTCCTGGCCAAAATATTGATGTGAATCTAATCATAAGAAAATGAGACCAATCCAAATTAAGGGAAATACTATACAATCATGGTCTAGGGGCTTCATAAAAAGGTCATTGTCAACTATCCTAGATTAAAATAGACTAAAAATATATGACAAATGCAACCCATGATTCCACATTGAACTGTGGATTAAAACAAAAACTACAAATGAACATTATCGGGACAACTATGGACATTTGAATATGGACTATTAGATAATAGTGTTATATAATGATATCTTGAGTGTGATCACAATTGTTATGTAGGGAAATGGTCTCGTTCATACACACACACACACTAAAGTATTTAAGGTGAAGTTTACAATATCTGCAACTTAAAGCAACAGAGAAAAGGAGAAAGGAAACTTGGCAAAATGTTAACAATTGGTGAATTTAGGTGAAGGGTGTATGGATGTTTATTGAACTATTCTTGCAACTTCTCTGTAGTTTTCAAATTTTTCACAATTAAAAGTTTGGAAAGAAATACATAATACCATTGGGGAGTGGGAGAGAGGAAGGAAGGAAAGAAATACTGAAGGGTCTTAGGAAATTGGGGGATATATGAGGTGCTAGTTTTCAAGGACAAAGTGAGGGTATCTCCATATGGGATTGGTGCCCATGAGAATGTCTAGTACAATGTGCAGCACCCCCAAAATATGTACTGTGGTGAATGCCATTCAGAAAAATAAAATCGAATGATCCTATTGGATGTGCAGATAATCTTGATTCAGAATAATATGTAAGAAAAGAACTCGCCCTTGTTGTATAGTTTTTGGCCTGCATGTTTGTTTTTATAAGCAAAATTTTCTTTCTTTTTTTGGTAGAGATGGTAGAGATTGGTAGAGATTTTTTTTTTTTGCTATGTTGCCCAGGCTGATCTCAAACTCCTGGCCTCGAGCGATGCTCCTACTTCAGACTCCCAAAATTCTAGGATTACAGGCATAAGTCACTGTACCTAGCCTCACAACTGTCTCTTTAGTATCCGTGAATTATTATCAACATGAACATTAATTCACAATTTAATGAATATGAATATATTAACCATGGACTAAAAAGTAATGAAATCAAAACCAGGATAGAGAATCAACCCACTCCATATAGGGAAGTGTCCATCATGAAGGACAGACAAGAGTAATCCCAGGTATTGCTTGGCCCTGGTTTGGGGCACTCAGGGATAGAAGTAGCTGCCTATGGCCCCCAGGAAATTGTGTAAACCTAGGAAATTGAGAGCTTTAGTCCTTAGGGCAAGGGTGCTGTCCCTCAGAAAGCAGGTTCATAAGCCCTTGGAGGTGTATGTGGTTTTAGAAAACTGCCTGGTCCCACCATACCCATCTCATGGAGAATCTCAATGGAAGGGAAGCCCATGTTCCTGATGGAGGTGTGTTCTTCCTCTTGGGAGAATGAGGGCCAAAAAATGGTTAAAACCCACTGTTGCACAGATTTTACACCTTCTAGAGTCACTTTTTTTGTTTTAATCAGCAATTAAACCTGTACCATGACTCACTTGTATGTTTGGTATTCAACCAAGGATTGTTTGTGACAAGCTTTCATATTTTTATTTTTCTGTTTCAGGGAGAGTGGTGAATATCAGCAGTTTACAGGGTTTAAAAGCTCTTGAAAATTGCAGTGAAGAACTGCAGGAAAAGTTCCGATGTGAGACACTCACAGAAGGGGACCTGGTGGACCTCATGAAAAAGTTTGTAGAGGACACAAAAAATGAGGTGCATGAGAGGGAAGGCTGGCCCAACTCAGCTTACGGGGTGTCCAAGTTGGGGGTCACGGTCTTATCAAGAATCCTGGCCAGGCGTCTGGATGAGAAGAGAAAAGCCGACAGGATCCTACTGAATGCATGCTGCCCCGGGTGGGTGAAGACAGACATGGCTGGGACTTATGGCTCCAGGACTGTGGAAGAGGGGGCTGAGACCCCTGTCTACCTGGCCCTTCTGCCACCAGATGCTACTGAGCCTCACGGCCAGCTGGTCCGTGACAAAGTTGTACAAGACTGGTGAATGTCTGCTTTGGCACTTAATGCATAATAAATACTGGTGCAATGAGTGAATGAATCCTGATGTTATGATTTGATTCTATTTCTGTCCTTGAGAAGGAATATCCATTAAAATCTCCCTGGGAGAAAGGTATCTAGATCCGGAATCTGGAGTTGAATGACTTTGCTCTGTCAAACTCTTCAGCCTCAGAGGAAGAAGAACATAGTTTAAAATTGTAGTAGGCATGGAGATCACCTGTGGTTACAAGAGATTGCTGGTGCCGGTCCCCACAGTTTCCAATTCAGTAGGTGTGGGGTGGAGCCCAAGAATTTGCATTTCTAACAAGTTCCCAGGTGATGCTGACATTGCTGGTCCTGGGATGGGGCTTTGAAAACCACTGGTGTAGTGAGTGGTCTCAGAGCCATGGAATTGGATCTCGGCTATTTTCCAGCCATTCTTTGCTGTTTCTAGTTTGTTGTAAGGATGAAGATTTATCCTCTTTACTTAGCTCTGCAACCTTCCTCCGCATCTCATTCTGTTTTGTTATATTTGAGTATCTTGTTATGGGTTTTTCTACTTACGAAGTAGTAGTCTAGGATCAGGAGGAATGCCTTTTTTCACTGGGACGTGATTTCTTTCCTGGTAGTTTTTTCAGATGGGTTTTTGTTCTAAGTTCCTTCCCAGAATGTTTGCAAGGTTGCCCTGCAACTTCTTTCATCTTGCTCATGTTTCTGCTTTGGCAACTTTGTCCAGACCATTTCTTTGCCCCAACACAGGCTCCTTAACCTGTTCACACCCCACCTGAGCTACATCCTGGGGTGATTCTTCAGATGACTCTCTGAGCCTCTTGTATAATCTCTGTGACCCTGGGGTGGCCACACTCGCTGCTTTCAGATGAGAATGGTTTTGCAACCAGGCCTCCATGGTTCCAGTTATACCCTGCAGAAAAAAGACTTGGAGACCAAAATGTCTTATGAAAGAAGAAACATACTTGCAAAAGTTTGCAAGGGAGTTAAGACTTCAGAATAAATGGCTTGTCAAACAACAAAAATTCAGGGGAATTCAAATTCCTTTCAACAATGGAAAAAATACAAAGGAAAAACATTACAAATGTGCCAAGGTTATCAAGTTTATAATAGACTGCTCACAGTGTAAAACAGAAAAGTTGTCATTTGATTATCATAGCCACAAAGGTCACATATCTCCTAACATCAATGTTGCATACATAAAGGATAATGCAGTTTTCCCTTACAGAATAGGTAAAATATGGAAATGCTCAAGTTTCATTTATTTGGGGGACCACTGAACAGGGTGATCAGAGTTATTTCTAGTTCATCATGGGATGTAGGTACTTTCTTTACTCTGACATTCAATGACAGCACCTCAAAGTGTCAGTTTATCACAACCCTCACCTCACTTTTACATCCCCCTGGGGTAGAGGGAAGTCTGAATCCCACTCAGATTGCATCGAACTTTCTTCAGCCCATTTCTATATCACTAATTAATCCAACATGCTCTTACATTCATCTCAGGATGTAGCTCCTAAGACATTTTAATGGCTTATCTGGCTCTAAAAATGTCTTAATGGCTTTCAGTAAGTTTCCTGAACATCTTTCATACTCTCCCTCTGCAGCCAAACTCCAGAATCCTGCTAATGATGGGAAATAGCACAGGAGCCACAGAACACTTTGGGCTCTGCCCGACAAAGTCTCAGACAGGAAGTGCACAGGAAAACAGGCCAGTCCTTTTATTTCTTCTTCCTTTTTTGTCTTTAACCAAATCCTTGTTGGATAAGCATTTGGCCCACCAAGGGCTTAATCACCAACTGCTGCCGAAAACAACATTTCTCATTCTTATGAGAATGGCTGCCCTTATTGGATGGTTTGCCTAGCACCCACTCCAAAATATTATCTCCTGCCCTCCCTCTGCTTTCTCTCCATGTTTGCAGCTACAGCAGCCACAAGGCGACTTTGCCCTCCTAGCCTCTGTTGACTGCTCCAGCTACTCTAAAAAGAAGGACTAGCTGGATTGGATCAGAGCTGTTACTGTGAGTGGCTGCATCCCACCCCATGTGATCTAAAGAACAGAAGCAGGCAGGCACGAGTAGAAGGCGAACCCTCAAGAGGAGTGTTTAGAGAGTGGACCAAAGAGAAACTCCTCTCTCCACGATGGCACCCCTTCCCTGGCCTCAGATCATTCCTGAAATCCTGGGTTCTAAGAGATGCCCTGAGATACCCTTGTATTCTTAAAATAAGTTTCCCTATTCCTTAAGCTAGGTTAAATTGGGTAGTTTTTGCTTGCAATTAAAAGGAACCTATCTAATAGCAGGGCATTAAAATGTTTCATGTATATACTGAAGGAAAAATAATAATTAGGCTTGGAATCAAAAGGAAAAAAATCATGAACTGAGAACCCATGGCAAACTAAGCCATATATCATGCTTAATATTTTCCTAACATGGTCTTACATATTATCACAATAGTCCTTTGCTTTAGTTCATTTTGTGTTGCTATAATGGAACAGCATAGACTGGGTAATTTATAAAGAAAACAAACTTATTTCTCACAGTTCTGAAGGCTGAAAAGTCCAAGAGCATGGCACCAGCATCTGGTGAGGGCCTTTTTGGTGTGTCATACTCCAGTGGAAGGGCATGAAACAGAACAAGAGCTGAATGCATCCTTTCATCAGGAGCCTACTCCTGCAGTAATGGCATTAATCTACTGATGAGAGCAGAGTCCTCATGACCTAATCACCTCTTAAATGCCCCACCTCTCAACTCTGTTGCATTGCGGATTAAGTCTCCAACACACAAACTTGGGGGAAGCATTCAAACCATAACACTCTTTAAGGTAGGTATCAATGTCATTTTTCAAATAAAGAAGTAAAGGCTTGGAGAAGTTAACTTGCCCAAGATTACACAGCTAAGAGTTAAGAGCCAGGATCATATTCAGGATTACCTGGCTGCAAAGTTCCTTGGTGCCTAGTACTTGGCATGTCCAGCTTCACTGATAACTCTGGAGACCATGGATAACTCTCTTGATGTAAAAATTAAGGGAGACGATACATTTAATCTGAGTGATTTATAATCCATGTGGTTATTAGATCCCCAAATTAGCCTCTGTGTAAACTTTTCCATAGAGAAATGAAATATTATTTAAATGCAGCATGTTTTCAATGGATTACCCCAGTAAATGTGTTTTTAGGCACCAGATGGGACAGTGTTCTTTTCACATTAACTTTTCTGTGATGCATTTTTCTAGATTGATGCATGTGGTAAATTCACATACGATATCAGCTTTGGACTTGGCCCTTTGATTTTCTTAATCTACCAAACTGCACACAAGGATTGTGGCAGAAGAAAAATGTGAACAATGTTGCAGGTGTGGAGATGCAAAAGGTGATGGTTGATGACGTATGCAATGGTTTACTTATTGCTGCAGTCAGCTGCAAAGTGGGCAACGGCATCAAATATAGAACTGCACAGATTTCTCCACTAGGAGGAACCAGGGCCAACAAAGGGAAGACAGAACCACAGGGACCCTGGTGGTTACTATTGGAAGGTAGAGTAGAACTTAAGTTTAGAGAAACTGGCTTAGACTATTACCAGTATCTGCATATCAAACTCAGAGTGCATTTACCTCAATCTCTCTAATGGTGGGCCGCCTGAGTCAGAAATGTAGGGCTCTGATTTATAATGCCTTCTTTGCTGTCAAAGGAGGTAAAGCACTGAGTTTGGATAAAATTAATTTGAAATGCTTTAATTGTTTGACTATTTACGCAAGGAACCTGTTCTTTTTACATGTCTTAAATTGATGAACATAGCTAAGTGGACTTTTAGTGTACAAAACTTGACCCCAAAACAGATTTCTTCTAAGAATATGCATCTTTTTCACTAAGCAGATCTGAGAAAACAATATTAAATCCTTAATGTGTACATTTATTGTCAATCCTAATTATAATTGAGTTGTTCTTTAATGATTTCAAACTTAAATTGTCAAATTAATTTAAATTAACTCCTGCAAACTGGAGTTCTTTACGATAAATTGTATAAATCCAAAGGCACATATTTTCTAAGCATAACTATATTAGAACAAGTTGGCACTGGTGGTTTGGACACAGTAGACTGGTTCTTTTTTTTTTTTTTTAGATAGTGTCTTGCTCTGTCATCTAGGCTGGTGTACATGGCATGATTATAGCTCACTATAACCTGAGTCCTGGGTTAAGCATCCATCCTCATAGCTATGACTACAAGCAACGCCACATACTTGGTTAAATTTTTAAATGTTATTTTTGCATTTGCCCAGACTGGTCTTGAGCTCTTGGCCTTAAGTGATCTTCCTGTCTCATCTTCCCAAAATGCTGGGATTACAGTCATGAGCCACCGTGCCCAGGCTCTCTCTCTTTTTAATGGTCAGTGTAAAGTGGTTCTTTCATCTCCATTAATTCAGTGCAGTGGGATGTGGCTAATATTTGAAGAACCTAAAAATCTCACCTGCTTGCCAGCTTTTTTGCAGGTTTTGTTTGCTGCTTTTGTAAAAATGCAGTTTATCATATTTTCATTAGGAAATCAAATTTCAGGAAGTTAGTTTTTCCCTGCTAAATGTGGCTGAATCCTTTAGTTTCCCTCTGCTTCTATTTTAAAATCATTCCTAAAATCGACCATTAGAAGATTTACCACTGGGGCACTTGGCACATGCCAAATGAAGATGGAAACAGAATCAGCAGCCTGGCCAGGCCACAGGTCCAGCACCCCAAACTATTAAAATACTCTTGGTGTTTTGGAGGAGGTGATAGATCCGATTTGGAATCCAATACAAACTACATTACCCTCTTCCCAGGATCCCAAAGTTACACAAGGTATTCTAAACAATTTCCAAGTGTTCATGGACCTCCCCACCTCCAACCTCATTCATGGACTGCCTGGCCTTACACCAACTCCAGACTAGGGCCAACAATTTCTAAAGGAGCCTCGGGGTTAAAATGAGCAGCGGCCACCGCGGAAATGACAACCTAATTCCACAGGCGGCACCGCGTTCGTGGGCTGGGAGCCCCAACAGGGGCCGGGGGTAGGCAGGGCCGACGCTCACCTGAGCTCTGCCGGACTTCCCCGCCTCAAGGTCTCGTCCCGCAGCTGTCAGGCTGGTCGGTCCGGGTCCGGACGCTCGTGGGGATGGCAGGAAGGGGTCACGGTTAGTCCACGGGTGACATCGAGTTCTCCTTCTTGAGGCGGAGCCCACCCGAGGAGCCCATTCCAGGAAGACGCGAGGGTCGGAAAGATGAGGCCTGTGGGGGCGACTTCACGCGCCGAGCGTGCACGGAAGGGCTAATTCGGCCTCCTCCTGAGGGAAGAGGGTCTGGGTGTGGTCCCGACGGAAAGGATGGGGTGAGCCGGGTGCCACGCTCCGTCCTCGGACCCCACCGTTCTCCTTTCGCAATTCCGCAGCATTTCCGAGGGCTGAGGCAGGGGTGCACGACCTCGGGCAGGCAGTCACCAACGTCCCCTTCCGTTCGGGTGTGCCGAGGACTCCAACGTGAGGGGCGGACGCCACGCCGCCCACCTGTAGTAGGCCTTCTCGGAAGCAGTCCGCCGCCAAGCGCCGCCCTCGGCGGGGAAGCTGAGGAGGACTCCGGCTCCCTGACTGGGCAGCGGCGGCGCCACAACAAGCCCAGCGCGCTAAGGCGCCGCCTCCCGGGGCCGCCCCGCCGCGCGGGGAGAATCCGCGCTAAGTCCCGCCCCTCAGGTCAGCCGCCGCTCCGCGCGCCGAGAGCGCCGCCTGATCCACCTCCTCGAGTCACAGACCCCGCCCCAGTTCCCACCGCGCGCGCGCGAAGCCTCGCCTGATCCACCTCTCGCCTAACCCCCTACCACCAGGTCGTACCCGGCCTCAGCCTTTCCATCTCCCACAGCGGCCTGAAGACATCAGGAGGTGGACATGAACGTCGTGAGGATCTGCTCCAGGGCCTCCTAATCGACCAGCAGGGACAGATGTGCCGGAATGGGACCCCGGTGCCTCCGACGCGTCACGACAACAGTGGAGTTGGAGGAGTGGTGGTCCGTTAGGATGTCCTTGGCTACAGGGTATCGAAATTTCCATTACGATCCCTGAACAACAGGGGCTTCAATCTATTTTATTTGTCCACTTGGTTAATCTACTCGTGTTGGGATTCAGCTGCTCAGCAAGATGTGGGCACTTCTGAACCTCTGGGATCCCTTATGAATCTTTAATACAAGTCCCCCTAGGACTGCCACAGCTCCAGTAATCAATGTACAGCATACAAAAAAAAAAAAGGCGCTGGGGTGACAGTGAATAACTATATAGCAACCTAAAAAAAAAAAAAAACAACCGTATCAGAGATGTACATTTATCCTCAACACACTAGAAAACCTAACATATCAAGAGATTAGGGGAATGCACATAAGCTTCTGTTAATTAACCACCACCTCTCTAAAACCACCGGATGGGCGCACCTGGCTGCTAGATAAAGATCAAGAAGGCAAACTGGAAAAATCCATCATAATTAAACTTTTCATTCAAATATCTCAAATCGCAATCCATCAGAGAAATACACACACAACAACAGAAGGAATAGACGGAATTAGCCAGACACAAGGAGAAGACGGAAAAAAAGAACGATGCACGGAGCGGCAAGAAGAGAACACACTATGCCTGATGAGACAAGGTGCAGAAGGTGAGGGACACAAAAAAAAGAGGGCAAGAGCTGGAGGATCAGGTGGCACGGACAGGGAGCCAACCAAGGAAGTCGGAGATTGGAAAGGGTAGAGGAAAAAGAGCATGAGATTACACAGGACAACGAAGGCCAGAAAGGATCAAAAAAAACAGACACTCAATGGCTTATATGGCAGATCAAGCACTAGACACACTGATACAAACACAATCACTTAAAAAAGCATCACAAAAGACACAAAAATGAGGGAGAGGACTGTCTGATGACTGGACAGCGCTAGAAGGGCATCGGGGAATTAGCAGCACAATCCAAGGAGCTCAGATAGACGGGAAACAAAGCTGAATAGATGGTAGGATACTAGACCTCTATAAAAAAAATGCAATTAAAGATGTGTGAAACAAGAAAAACAGATAGAGAAAGACAACCGAGGACAAGAAGAAATATACCTTCCAACTTAAATCGCATCAAAAGAAACACATCCAACCACACAAAAAAAATCATACAGATAAAAAGCATTAATATACACTTTAATCCACTTACCATAATAATCAAAAAAAAAAAAAAAAAAAACAAACGCTCAGTGTGAACACTTTGGACACGGTCCTAGATCGGTTTGATCGCCTGAAGTTCTACGCAGGTGAGCTGTTATCCCCATTTTACGATGGGAAACCAAGGTGCAGGGTTAAGGAACTGCTCAAGGCGACACAGCTGGTCCATGGCAGAGATAGGATTGAATCAGATTGTCTGTGCTCTTCATCATTTCTTCTGGAGAAAATATTAACAAAGAAAGAAGAGAGGTTGGGGGAAAAAAAGACAGGAAGTGGGGGGGAAATGTTTCATGGTATGGGACTCTTACTGAACTAGGGAAAGAGGGCAATTGGAAAAGCATCTGGGAAAAAAACACCTTTGCAGAGTTGTGTTGATGGTGGTGGTAGTAATAATATATTATTATATTAATATACCACAACTGGAGGGAGTCCTTCTTTGTTATATAACCATTTATTGAGCACCCATTTTGTCTAGGCACTAAGCGAACAGAGCAGTGAACAAAACAGATGGAACCCTGCTCCTGTGGACCTCACTTTCAAGTGGGGAGACAGCAGTAACCAGGAATAGAAGGAAGCTTATAAGTAAATATCCTGGTGGTGACAAGTGCTAAGGAAAAAATGGCACTGGGAAGGGGAATGGGAGGGTAGGGCCCAGGGTCTGGGGGCCAATTTATTAGGGAGGCCGGAGAGGACACCCTCAAGAATAATCAGAGGCATAGAAGGTCTGTGTGCTGCTTTGGGGGAAAAGTGTTCCAGTAGGAACAGCAAGTGCAAAGGCCTGGGGTAGGAGGAGGTCTGGCTAGTGGAGGAACAGAGAGGCTGATGGGGAGAGGCCAGGGAGCGGGGGAGATAGTGGGAGAACCTGCCCGTCGCCCAGGGATCTCCTCCCACCACACACCCTTTCTGTTATGTGATTAACAGTTAGTGACCATCTCCCTCACTGGACTGTGAGCCTCATAGGGCAGAGCCTGGGGGCTGTCTTGGTCACAGCTGTGGTCCAGCCACCGGTCCAGACTAAGACACATGAGGAATAGGTAAAAAAAAACAATTTTGTTTATACAAGGTTTACATTTTTAAAAAACCATTTTATCGCTGCTTATTTCTTCTCCTTCTAAATAGAAAAGAACAAAAAAAGTTATAAAATAAATAAATAAACCATTTAACCACTTTAAACGTGATACCAGTTCAGGCCGGCGCAGGGCTCACGCCTGTAATCCTAGCACCTCCTGGAGGCCGAGGCGGGCGGATCATGAGCCAGGAGTTGAGACCAGCCTGACAAGAGCAGACCCCCGTCTCTACTACAAAAAATAGAGAAATTAGTTGGACAACTAAATAATATAGAAAAATTACCGGGGCATGGGGCGCATGCCCTGTAGCCACCTACTCGGGAGGCTGAGGGCAGGGGATCACTTGGAGCCAGGTGAGGTGCCGGTGACTAGGCCTGATGGCCGTGGGCACTCTAGCCTGGCAACAAGTAGCTCTGTCTCCAAAAAAAATAAATTAAATTATAAAATAAATTAAAATAATCAGGTACAGGTGTGCCACCACCATTCTCTATCTGGAAACTTTTCAGCCCACCCGCAAGGAACCCTGTACTATTAAGTTGTCATTCTATCCCCTTCTCCCTCAGCCCTGCCAACCCTAATCTGTTTCTGTTGCATGGATTTTTGGCCTATTGGGACATTTACAATGCCGATCAACATCATGGCCTTTTGTGTCTGCCTCTTTCGTTAAGCACAATTTCAAGGTGGTCCTTTTCCTGCTGAGCGACAGGCCCATCGTAGGGGGGACACCACAGCTTGTTTCTGTTCATCGCGCGATGGAGCATTTTTGGTGGTTCCACTTTGGGCTGATACGAATAAGTGCTATTGTGGAACATTCATGTGCAAGTTTTATTTGAACACCGGGTCCTTCGATTCTTTGGGGTGAACGGCGGTGGAGGTTCTCAGTAAATTGTGAACACATGAATGGATGAATGAACGAACAACAGCAAATGGTATGGAGGTCCCCTGTGCAGGAACCCGTGTGGCTGGGCACTGCCGGTGACACCTCAGTGACAGAGACAGGCAGGGCTCTGCCTCACAGGCTCTTATCCAGGGGGAAATAGGGAAAGAGACCAGAAAAAATGAACATGATATCTGAGAGGGGAGACAGCAAGTCCTAGTTGAACAGGTAGAACCAGACCTGACCAGCATCTAGATCTTGTTGAGCTGAGGACTGGAGGAAGCGCAGGAGATCGTAGAGGTCTGGGGAACAGGGCAGGGAGGACCATTGCAGTGGCCGGTGAACAACTAGACGTGAGTGGTGATCCGTTCCATCTCCTTCACTGGCTGGTCTTGGGCAGTGACTTTTACCACCCTGACCTTTGTTTCCTCACCCCTAAATGGGCTTGCTGTTAGGAGAGAAGAGATCCCAACTGCTAAGAAGTGTACTACTACAAAGAGTAGCAGTTACTGAGACTTATGATGGCCACGCCTAGAGCTAGTACTTCCTAATACTAACAGAGACACCTAATATGTGGCTAAATCCTCTCCTAAGCCCTTTAACTGGATTGACTCATTAATCTTCTAGCCCCTCAAAATGGTACTGGTGGAATTCATTGTGGTTAAACCGGAAACTGGGCCCAGAGATTCAAAGTGACTTCCCCAACCCTAGCAGAGCTGGTGTAAAGGCCAGCCTTCCTGATTTTGTCCTGGCTCCACCACTTTGCTGGCTGGTGACCTTGCACAAGTGACTTCACTTCTCTGTGCCTTTGTTCCTTTGTATGTGATGGGAGTACCTAATGTCTAGCATTGTGTGTGACTAGGAGGCAATCTGTCGTGCCCGACGCATATAAGCTTCTGAACCTGGAGTAGTGTACCGAGGAGGCAATGCTACGACAAGAAACAGAAATAGCAGGCGAGCAGGGAATCCTGACTATCTGTTGTAACTGTTGAAGTTCCTCCACACTTCCAAGCTCAGTTTCTCTATTTTTTTTTTTTGAGACAGGAGTCTTCATTTGTTGCCCAGCTGAGTGAGTGCCGTGGCGTCAGCTAGGCTACCGCAACCCAAACTCCTGGCTCAAGCATCCTGCTACCTCAGCCTCCCGACAGCCTGGGGACTAAGGCATGGCGCCACCATGCCCGGCTAATTGTCCTTAATACTAGTTGCAATTATTCTTTTATTAAGGTAGAGATGGGGTCCTCGCTCTTGCTCAGACTGGTCTGGAACCTCCTGACCTTGAGCAATCCGCCCGCCTCAGCTCCCAGAGTCTAAGATTACAGGCGTGAGCACCGCGCCCGGCAGTTTTCTCCATTTTTAGAGTGGGCGGTAGAAAAGCACATAGCAGAATGAGATTGGTATCCTTTAAAGGCCCTTACTTCATTTGGAAAGATATGCAAAAGAATTAAAATAAAAGTTTCATGGACAACTTGGATTTGGGGGGGTTCCCACCATCCCCTGAGA